AAAAATTTTTTTTTACCTTTTTTGGCGGTCCGAAGTAGCTCCGGCACGGTGGCGGGTGACGATAGCTCTCCTTCCCCGTGGCTGGGTCTCTTTTCCGGTAAAGGTGTCTAGCGGTTAGGGTTAAGGTTTGATATGAAGAGGATTATTTATATCCGTCCCTAATTAATCTGAACCGTCCATCGAGGTTTGATCTGAACCGTTCATCGCGATCTAATATGGACTGTTCATCACGATCCAATCTGAACCGTTCGATCGCGTTTAAATCTGACTGTCCGATCGCATTTTGGGGAGAGAATGCATTCAGGCCATCCGTGTGCGTGGAAACGGATCTAGGCCGTTCGATCGCAGGTACGGGGATCACCCGCGTGACCTCCTGCGTAGCACTGCGTCAACGTCCGTTGTCAAGCGGCTCGTTCTAGTTTGCCGGAGCTGTTGACCGGACATCCTACGTGGTACAAATTTTCTAAATTGTATTTTAACTCCCGTTTTCCTATTTTTCTTTCAAAAATACCTTCAAAACCCAAATTTTCACATAGTTTTCCCAAAAATGTTTTCAATTTCATTCTCCATCAAATTTCTTTCATTTTTACATTAAATTGAAATTAAAAAAAATTAAAAAAATTGCATAAATTAATTTAATTTACACTAAATTAAAATTGGACATTACAATTCTTGTAATGCTCGAAGCATGTTTAGAATCGGCTCCGGAGTCAACGAGGAAGAAAGTGATGCTGAGAGTTCAGAAGAAATAGCTTCTGCCATTGAAGGTGAGGTTTCTTCTATTTGTTTCAAATGCTTAATTCCCATCTCAATCAGTTTCGCATCAGCCAAACATTTCAATAAAATAACATGGGAGTGTGAGGACACTATATCAGCAGGAAGATTGTAGAGCAACTTCGAAGCAGAAAGAAAATGACCTGCATAGTTCATATGGATTTCTGAGAAATTTCTTTGAAAATTTAGTTTTGATATTAGGACAGCTGAAAATTTTATCAGAAAATAATAAAAATAGAGTTCATACAAATAACCCAAGTGAAATTGAAAAGATATATTCCAAATTTTATCAAGATCAATAGGTTTCAAATATCTTATC